ATATGAAATTTCATGAATGTATGAAGTTTGGAAAATTTCATGCAATTATCAAAACGAGTTATAAGCTTATTTCTGGTTGTCATGTGGTTTTCAAATTTGCAATTAATTTCGTTCGTAATTTATTTTTATTATTCCTAATTCATTTATTGATAACTATGAGAAATCCCATGATCTAAACACTGTTAAAGTTTTAAAATAATGAAGTATTTCTTGAGAAAGTTAAAAAAAATGACAAAAACTGAAAGCGTTTCTTCCATTTATAGGGTAGTGTGTGTGATACACGCAGATAAGAATTCACAATTAATGCTGCTCCCTGTAATTATTATATCCGTCATTGAACAGCCGACCCAATTTTGGGTTTACGACTACTCATGTTCAACTCTGACTACTCATGTAAGACTACTCATGTAAGACTACTCGTGTTCAACTCTTTCAGTGCGTGTGGTAGTTAAATTTAATTTAATCGACGGCAATGGATCCTTCCTTAGCAATTTCAAGTTTGATCATTTACAGTTTGCTAAAGAAAAAAAAAGAGAAGAGAAGGACACTTTGGAATAAAGCATGGCGCTTACGAAGACAGAGATTAGGCTGTTATGAAAATTTATTGAGAGAACTGTTTGTTTTCATTTGTGCAATCTTTGACATAAGAGTTAAAAATATGTAATTAGTTTTAATATTGGAAAAGTAAATTAGGAAAATAAGAATCCCCATTTTGTTATAAATATGTTCGTTGCACGCTGTATTAATTTCACTTATTACCATAAATTAAACACATAAGTCGCAATGGATTTTTATCTTTAGTTAATAAATATATTTTTAGATTATTCTTTACCTTTAGTTATATAGTACTTATTTTAAATTATTCAAATAAATTACCTTTAAGTTTTTCATATATTTAATTACATAATATAGCTTTTTGCAACTTATATTTACTATGTATATTTTACAACGGAGAAAACAAAATCCAATATAAAAGTAAAAATAAACAGTAAGAACAAAATTCAGGAGTTTGATAATTTTTTGCACCAAATTAATGCAATTAATTTTTTTAATGTTGACTTTGAAGTTTTTGAAAAATTATTAAAATAGTTTTTTAAGAGTTCGATAAGTATTATTATATATATATGTTTAGTGAAGTACTCTAGTTTGAAAAAAATTGTGCTATTTATAGAAAATTAAAAGTTTATGCGAAACTGAATTTTAAAAAAAAGAAAGCTATCGTTTTGTTAAAGGTTCAACATGAATAAACACAAACTATTTAAAAATTAGGAAAAACAAGAACTGATAAAAGTGAACAATTTAGTGAATTTTTTATGAGCTCTTAAATGATATTTCCTGTGGTGACAGGATGTTACATTCCAAATGCTCTCTTTTTTCTTCAAGAGTTCAATAAATGTGTTCTCCATTTTGATGCTCCATTTAATAGTTTCTCCATAGAGAGCTTGTTCAAAACTTTGACTCCTCTTTGCTGCAATATAAGTAAAAAATTTTATTAAGAAAGGTGAAGCAAGTGTATTTAAGGCAACAGACAATAAGGAACAGTCATTAAAAATAAAATAATACCAACCAATTAATTCTGTCAGCATATTGTTATGGTATGAGTATGTTTTTTATTATCAGTAAAAACTGAAATAAATTTTTAATGGTCTTCCATGCTTTTATAATAAGATTAATAGAAAGATAAATTAAAATTATGTATGTACAAGGAGTATCAGTTACTTGTCCCATTTTTTCAAATATTTTACCTTAAGAAAAAGATAAATAATTTTTTTGATAAATAATTTTATTTTTATCTTTAATTTCAAAAAATTTAATCTATTAAATTATGAAAAAAGCAGATATAAAAAGTATCTACATATTAGTATATTTAAAGTTTAACGTGTGTTAATATTTTTTTATTAAAAATTATTACCTTGAAAAAACCTGTTAAGTGCTTTAACGGATAAAAAAATTATTTTCAACTTCCTTCATAATTTATTCAAAACCTGCTTATTAATAATATAAAGCCTGCAACTGCATTTGAAAAATTGTTCCTTACAGACTATGTTATTTAAATTTCCATCTAATTTAATTTCATTAAATATTACTTTTTGAAAAAACCCTCTTAAAGTTTTTAATAGTAATATAAAATTACTGATTCAAGTTTCTTCAACTTTATAAATATTAAAAACTTAATCATATAAAGCATGCAAATCTATTTGACAAACTTATGCTACACAATAAATTACATAAAATTAAATGTGAGTAAATAAGTTTTAATAAAAACATTATTTTTATTTTTTTTATTAAAACTCACTTAGCAGTGGGTTTTTTCAAGGTGGGCCCACTTGTCGAACCCTGATAGAAAGAGCAAAGTAATTGGGAAAAAAAAAAATTTATTCCGCTAATGCCGACAAATATACAGTTTAAGAATAAAATAATACAAAGAAATTAATTCTGTCAGCATATTGTTTAGGTATGAGTAAGTTTTCAGAAAAGTTTAGTTTTTATAACGCAGTTTTTTCCTTTGTAGAAAAATATTCAAAATCACTGAATTCAGTACCAATTCTAGAGTAATTGCTGGTATAATCTTATCGGAACTATAGAAAGAGCAAAGTAATTGAAAAAAAATACCTATATTTTAATTCAGCGAATACTAACAAATATACAGTTACGTACAAAAAAGATTAAATGCAATTCATAAAATTTGTTTATCATTTAAAGTAATGTCAAAATATAAAACAAAACTACTTTTATGTACTTGCAAAATTTACTTCAGATTGGCGAATTCGGAGTAGAAAATCATACTTTTAATTCACGGTTAAAAACATAACACGTTTATAAGATAAACTTCTTTAATGGTTAGAAACAGATTTATACTTATAAAATAACTTTAAAATCAATACTCAATTAAAAGCTCACCTGAATTAATTTATAACAAATTAGATACGCTGCTTCGTCACAAACTTTGCCGCCATATTTTTTTGACTTGTGCTATCCCATAACCCCATGCGGTTGCTGTCACCTGATTGGTTGAATTGTGAAGTTGCTTCAACACTTTCGAAGAGATGTGAAAGAGTTGAACAGCAGTTGTTCCAACTCGTATAAGTATAGCACACCTATGTTTCCGGGCGGGGTTATCTTCGGAGTTGAAGTTGGGGTTGAGTTGATGGTTGAATTGAACAAATTTCCGCTGTGGCCTTTAGTTATCGATAAATTATCAATTTTTATTCCTTTTCTCCCCTCTTGACCGCTTTCCTTACTAATTTTCAATTTTTCTAACTAATATTCTGTATTTATATAATATATCATCTAATTTATCCATTTGTCGAATCCATTAGACAAATTCATTTTTATTGTAGGAAGATATATTTTATATTAGGAAGATATTAGTATATTAGAGAGGTTTGTCGCAGAAAGACTGAAAAAAATTCTGCCACAGCATGTCTCAATAAGACTTAATTCTTATTTTCTTTTGCAGCATGCCAAAATTACAATCCCTGCTCATGACAGTGAATTGGCAGCCCTTACATTTGATGAGACAGGAGATAAGCTAGCTACTGCTTCTATTAAGGTGAGCATCAAAAATTTTAGAAAAAATGACTTCTCTTTTTTTTTGTCCTTGTATTATATTTTTAAAGTTGAATACTTTTTACGTAATAGCGATATCAACCGATGCAGTTACTGTGTGCCCATTTCACACCAGCTCCCTGCCATATTCTTGGGAAAGCATCTTAAACTTTGCCATCTGTTATTTAATAAAACATCACACCAGGGGTGCAAAAAATAATATTTCCCCAAACGCAGTTTTTTTTAAGCTTGAAATTTCTCCCTAAATTATTGTTTTTCATATGTTATGTTATAAATTTTTTTTTCAGTTACAGCAAATTTTTCAAAATATTTTTAGAAAATTAAGTTTGTATCCAACAAAGCGTGAATAAATGTGACTAAAGCACAAAAAAAGTATAAAAACTGCATAAAACAGTAATCATAAATAATGAATTCAGAATCTATTTTGAAATAATGTGGATAACTAAAACATGTCTAGTTTTTTATTCGGCATAGCTCATTAAAATATTTAAGTAAAACAAATATTGTTACAAATTAAAAAACAGATTATTATGACAAATTTACAAAAGGAAAGAGAGCCACTAAGTAATTACAGTTTAATTAAAAATTTAGTTTAAGTTTTGATTAAAAAATTTTAAAACTAATTAAAAATTTTAACGAAATATTAAATCTTAAGATTGACTTTTTGCAATTGAAAGCGTTAATAAATAATACCATTTTAAAAAGGCTAATAGAAGAACCATTCACAGATTTTTATTTGTAATATGGTTTTATTTAAGTTTTCTTTTCCGCCTCTATTTACAACATATTTTTATTAATACCTAAAATAATTGGAGATCAAAACACTTCTGGTCTGCAATCCATTGTTTGTGTATTCCTGGGAAAGAATAATAATATATTAACTTGCAGTACTATGATGAAGAGGAAATCAACATGGCAGCATATAAAATATATATATTTTTTTGTGAGATATATTAAATTAATGACACCTAATTTGACATTTTTAAAATATGAAGAAAAAACATGAAGTAACAATACAGCATTTGATAGTTTCATAAAATAAATACCTAGTTATTATTTTTTTAAAAAAATATCTCAGTTTCTTTTAGTATTGTATATCGGCAATTCCGTAAAGAATAAGCATACAACATACATATTAAACAATCAGCCTCCATCATTAGGCCACATTAAATAAATCCATAAAAAAAGAAATTCAAAACTTTTGATTTTGTGTAAGAAAATAATCACTTCTGATATGTTTAATTGCAGTTGTTTTTTATTGAATGGTCACTCAAAATTTTTTATTTGTAATATAGTTTTATTTTGATATTTTTTCTTCCTCTGTGTACAAAATGCTATTATTTTTATTTATTTTGATTTAATAATCAGCTTCTGTCATTGAGTCACATTAAATAATTCTGGAGAAAAAAAATTGTAAATCTTGTGATTTTTGTTTAAACAGAAAATCATATAGTATATAAATACTATTAAATTAATTTATAGCTTATTAATTTAATGTAACAACTGCTTTATTAAATCATAGCTTTTACATAGCTGCCAACTCTACTGGATTTTGCCAGTTTCTCCTGGTCTGCTGGTTTAATAAAAAATCTGATTTTTGTGAATTCCCTAAAATTTTAGAAATCTCCCTAAAATTGAGTAAGTTTCCTTAAAAAATCCCTATTGAAGTAGAATTTTTGTGTAGATTACTGCTTGCTTGAATAAGTGTCGCTAATACATAATAAAGCGAGCCTCATTTGTAAAATTCAGTTGACTATCTTTGATGAATTGAATGCCTATTACTAGTCATAATTATGAATAAACATAATACATAATTTGTTTTTTATAATTATGAATAGTAATAGTAGTTTTTTATAATTATTATGAATAGTTTTATTCATAATAATTATGAATAAACATAAAACATAATACATTTCAAGATCATTTAATGTGAAATCATTACTGGAAAATATTGCAGTTTTTCTTTTTTGATGACTATAAAAGTCCCTAAAATTATTATAATATGTAATATATTTAGTATTTTCGCAACAATTATCATGAAATTTGGTCCTAGAAATAAAATTAATTTTTGGTAATAAGCTAAATGGGTATTATTTTTTAAATCAATTTTAATCCCTAAAGTATTTTAACATAATCCCCGTTCCAGAATCATAGCAAGACGGCGACATTATTTCAAACAATATGGAAAATTTTAATTGTGAATTTGAGTATTTACTCTTTAAGGCAATAATTCTGCTGAATTTTTGGCAGTTATTGCTATTGATTTCTCTCTAGTTTTTAAATCTGATATGTTTTATGTGATATTACAACAACGTAATCTCGAAGCGAAACAGGCATTTGAGGAGACCGGTTTGCATGATTTCGTAACCAATATTTTACTCAACAATAACTATTGCGGATGTTATGACTTTTAATCTTATTTTTTATCGTGATAATTATTAACAAAATGCGGAGAAGGAAATAATTTTTGCCCCCCCCCCCCCAAATGTGAAAATATCAGCCATAGTATTAGAATAAAAAATTATTACATGTTTTATTTTCAAAATAATTATAGTTTTTCTTTGTAAACACAGCTGCTCTTTTGTTATTTTAAATTTGTAACATACATGTTTGTTATTATTAAAAGTATCTTGTAGAAAGATATTAGTGATAGGGAGTTTTGTCGCAGATAGCTCGAAAAAATTCTGCCCCAGGGAACATAATATCACTAGGAAAAAAATGACCCTATTCGGGTTAAATGATAAACAGATACCGGCTGAAAAAAAGTGTACTAAACAAACATTAACATTTGAACAATATTAAAATTTTTCATACAATAGAATTTTATCCACTTTCTCTTTTAATTTCTGTAAATGAAAGGGAAATTTCTTTTATTTTATTAGGGGACAGTCATCCGAGTGTTTGATGTAGTGAGTGGTAAAGCTCTATTTGAATTTAGACGAGGCATGAAGAGGTATTTCTTTAATTTTATACATAGTTGAAATGTATTATCTATTAATGAGCAATTGAAATATATTACAATGAATTATATTGGACCAGGATAGCCTGGTCGGTAGGGCACTGGGCCCTTGTCCAAGAGTTCGTGGGTTCAATCCCCGCCAGCCAAAGACTCCCCGTGTAGCAAATGGTGACTGGTGCACGTTAAATCTGTATCATTGCCAAGTCCTCCATGTTCCCATAACTAATCAATACCTCTGGTAGTACTGATCCAGGAGTTTCCTTGTCTTCTGGATTAGGTTCAAAATTACAAGGCTACGGAGTTGAACATTAGCAGTCGTAAGCCGAAAAATTGCGTCAGCTGTTCAATGACGGATATTTAAAAAAAAACCAATTATATTACAGTTGAACCCCATTTCCACACTGTCTGTGGACCGAATCTAAGCCCTTTAGACTATTGTGTTTGGGGGATTCTAGAATCTATAGTTAATGCTAAGCAGCACAGAAGTTTGAACATTCTCAGAGCGTCTTAATTACTCAAATGGGACAAATTACGTCTTAAAATGAATCGTGCCGGCATTGGACAATGGCGTAAGAGATTATTTTTAGTAATCGATGAAGATGGTGGTCGATTTGAATAAAAAAATTTTAAGTAAACTTCCATTCATAGTGTTTCTCATATTTGTGCATTTATCATTTCTGTGTAATATCTGTGCAATAAAATGATTCGATATTCGCTATAAAATGATTTGTAACAGTATTTTGTAGCCACCCTGTAGTTTGTCCTATTTCTATGTAGTCTAGCTTATAGTAATAGTAGTAGTAATAGAGTTGCACAGTGGGCTATTGGCCGCTATCAAGTAAACATCCTCTACAGAAGGTGTAGCTCCCCCACTTCGGTGGCCCAACAACCTGCACAAAGTAGAGTACTTTGTTGTAAAACAATTTAATGAGGACTGATACAGCACACCTTTGGTGTCCCTATGTAGGCTGATTAAAGTGGTTCTTGATGCTTGACTTATGTGTTTTATTGAGAACCATGTCTTTAATCCACTGTGGGATTAGTTTGGTTTCTGCATACTGTTTCACAAAGAACGTCTTTTGTTTTCCTTTGGCTCTCAATAAGGGTTGTGTATCTACTGAATTTAACTTAATGCGTAATCTTATTAATAACTCAATTTTCAAATTCAGGTGTGTTGAGATTCACTCCTTGTCATTTAACAAAGATGGTGAGTTTTTGTGTGCCTCAAGCAATACAGAGACAGTTCACATCTTTAAACTTCAGAACACTGAACCTGCAGAGTAAGTTTTTTCCTTTATTCTACTTTTAAAGCTTTCAAAGCTTCCTCTAATCCTCTATTAAAGGAAGCTTTGAAAGCTTTAAAAGTATGATACTCTACTAACTTTAGCCTAAAGTTCAGTATTTTTAATGAATTACTGATTATTATTGTCATTTAAATTTTATACCTCCTGCAAATTTTTAAGAATTTATGATTTCTATTGGGCTAATGAATTTGACATTTTCCTCCAATTCTCAAAAGTTCAATATTTTTAGGAAATGGCATTGTTAGGAAACTTTCCTTCAGTTTTGAAGAGCTAATGATTTTCTTTTAAACTAAAAATTTCTACCAATTTTTTTTAATATTAAAAGTTTTTATATTTCTATCCTCTTTTTAGAAAATAACCATTTCTATTAGATTTTCTAAATAACCTTTAAATTTAAAAGCTTTAAATTCTTTTAATCTACTAATGCAATGATTAATTCAATAGTGCCTTTATATCTCAACACTGTTGATGTGTAAAAATACTGAGTTTTGCTCTATTAGGGTATCTTTTAAGACTGCTGGAACTAACCTGCATTTGCCTTACATGGAGAGGAAAACCACAAAATCCTCCACAGTTCGTCTGATGGCAAGAGCCATGAACCGTCTACAACTGAGAATATTGCTCGTCAGCACTGTGGTCGGTGTGAGTGGGATACGGAATGTGAATCAATCATCTGACCGGATTCAAACCCTGGTTCACCTCATTCAGAGGCATTAACTATATATCAAAAACACAGTGCGTAGCATTTTTAAAAAGTGCTTAAAGGTGCTTATTTTTGATTTTCGTTATTTAAAAGCCCTTTGGGGTGCTTTTTTCATGGGGTGTTTTTAAAAAGTGCTTAATATTCCCTTTTTGAAAGTGAGATTTTTTTCTTTACCATGTTGATTTTTGCCACATTTTATGCAAAAGTGTGCTTTTCACACTGTTCTGTTCAACGTTTTCACAATTCATTCAACCACAATCCATTTCGGCTTACCGTCGGTCCATACCGTACGAAAGCGCCAATCATTTTGTGCGTTTTATGAAATACTTAGTCCGCATGTGCGTCTACTGAGCTGAGTTCGGTGAGATTCTTGCATTCTCATGTGCAACTCTTCTGCATTTTGCAAGATATTCTCAATTTCAGACTTCCTTTTCCACCCTCTGATATTAAACTGAATCTCTCAATCATTTTATAATGGCTTATATAACAGGAAAAAGAGTTATTTGTCAGAAACTAGTTATTTTCTCATGATCATCTGAAGTCTTTGGAAATTATTTTTCATTTTATCAATGTGTATAGTGCTTAAAAATATTTTTTGAGTGCTTAAAAAGTACTTAAGAGGTGCTTAGTTTTTGTTGAAAGATTTGGCTACGCACCCTAAATATACAATCAGCAAAAAAAAAGAAAAAGGATTACACACTGAATAATTTTTGTTCTAATGATTGGATTTTCAAGTACTAAGTGTTAGTCTTAATGGTTCCTGGAGGCCCTGTGGCAGAATCGCGGACACATTGTCTCAGAACGTTACAGAGATCTTGCAGAAAGATTTTTCTCTTGGGAAGAAAAAAATTAGGGTTTTCATGTAAAATTTGAATTGCTCATTTAAATAATCACTTTTTTTGCATTCAATTTATGCTGACAGTATCGTAAATCCATGTAGAGTTTGGATTGTATTTTCGGCAGCTATTGATTTTCACATAGTTTTTAAATTATCCCGATATATTTCAGACGATATGGGGAATTCGAATAATGTATTTGAGTATTTACTTTTTAAGGCAACGATTTTATCGTTTTTCTTCTTCAATTATTGTTTTTAACTTCCGTATAGATTTTTAAACCCAATAAATTTATAATAACTTACGTAAATTAGGTTTTAGTACAAAATTTTCATACCAATGGCGTTAAAACAGCTTTTAAAAAAATAAATAATATCAGATAAAAAGTGCAATGTTCAGATTCTAAAATCTTGGAAAATCATAGATAATTTATTAATCAATTCAATTTTTATTTTCAAAGGAAATTAAAAAGAAAACTATATGTTTTTTTTCTCCCAGAAAGCAGTGCATAAAAATTCTCATCTTCGTTGCTTAGCAATGTGTTAAATCTTAAATCACGCTAATCGGACTCCTCAAAAATTGATTACTCAAATGTGTGTTTTGTTTCGAGGTTAGGTAGTTGTAATAAATAATATCGGATTTAAAAAGCTAAATCAATATGCAATAACATCCTAAAAATCGATAGAATCATTGCCTTAATTCTCAAATGCACAATTCGAGTTTTCCATATTGTTAAAAAAATACCGATAATAAATTTACTGATAATAAAATACCGATAGATAAAATTGAAAACTACATGAGAATTAATATCAATAATTGCCGAAAATACATTCAAAACATTATATCGATTTACGGTACTATCGGTGCAATTTGAGCGCACCAAAAAGTTATTATTTAAATGCATGATTCAAATTTTAAGTGTAAATTTCTGTAGGAAAAAAAAACTAAATGTTTTTTTTTTGTTGTTTTTTTTGCTTTTCGGCAAGAATCTTTCTGCAAAAACTATGCAACGTTCTGCGACAATGTCACCGTGTTGCTGTGTTTCTGCCATGGGAAATATAAAATAGTGTAGTATTTCAAATTTTGCTGGAATAATTGATATTTGGTGACAACACGTTCAGCATAGAAAGAAATTTGAGTAAAATGATTTAAAAACAACATTTAGAATACATAGGAACAAGGAGAGAAAAAGATGTGATGTTATAATTGTAAAGTAATAGATTGTTGATAATGTTGAATAAATCTATTGAAGGCAGGTTGAAGAGGAAGCTGAGGGTTGGATGGAGATGTTTGGTAGAGTTCTCACTCAATCAGCCAAGTACCTGCCTACACAGATGTCAGATGTCCTCACGCAGCAAAGGTCATTCGCTTATGTTCACCTTCCATTTGTCACTCAGAAGACAATAAGTGCTATATCTACGTAAGTAATTACAATTCAATACTTTAAACCAGTCTTTTGAAATTTTATATCCAACCACTGTGAAGCAGAATTGAAATCACTTTTTTTTTTAACAGAAATTAATTATTTAAATCAACTGTGATTTTTCTTCAAAAAAATAAAATTATTTATGTTTAAACTATTTGATATTTTTTAAAAAATAAATAATTAAGTCGGTAATATTTTTATAAAAAAATTATTCATGAATATATTCTTTTGCTTGTGATTTTTTTTTAAAACCTGATTTTATTAATAATTCTTGCCCTTGAGGTGGCTGCAAGACAAATGGGCTTAGTCATAAATGTAGAGAAAGCAAAATGCATGTTATTCTCAAGAAACAGAGTCTCAGACCACTATTTTGATATAGATTGTTATATATTTGAAACAGTAAAGAGTTTTACTTAATTAGAATCAGTTATTACTATTGACAACCATATCTGGAAAATAGGTACCAACTCTATCTGGAAAATAGGGCTGTATATGGGTTGAGAAGATTTATTAAATCTAGGTTTTCTTCTAGAAAAACAAAGTTCTTAATCTACAAAACTCTTGTCAGGCCAGTCTTTGACATATGCTTCTGAAGCTTGGACAAGGACAAAACTGGAGGGAAATTGTATCGCAATATTTGAGAGAAAGATTTTGCGGAGTATACTTGGTGGTGTAAATTAAAACAATAACTGGAGTAGGAGATTTAAATTTGAACTGTACAAGATTTATAAAAATCCCGATATTATTAAATACATAAAAATGAATAGAATTAACTGGATTGCCTTCGTGATTCGAATGAATGGTGACAATACAGTAAAAAAGATGCTGCTTCTTAAACCCATTGGAGCAAGAAAACAGGGAAGGCTGCTGTTCAGATGGGCTGACTCGATGGAGTCTAATTTTCTTGCAATTAAGGAAAAGAATTAGAGATCAAAGATAAACCGGAATTCATTATGGAGCAATATTCAGATGAAGGCATTGGTCCACATTGGTCTGTCTGACCAACTATGATGATGATGAATTTCATTGATAATGAAGGTTTTGTTCAAAATAATAATAAATAACAATAAGGAAAGTGAGATGCATATAAATTATTATATTTCAAAATATAAATAAAAAAAATGATTGATTAGCAAAGGATAAGAGTGGTGTGAAACTTTTAAAAAATGCTTTTCCATTAGCTGCAAATAAAATAATTTGCTGGTAATAAACGTATTGCAGTTATACCCATTTAGTTTTATGCTTATTTAGATGCAAGTGATTTTGAAACTTATGAAATATGAAGTTAATATCTATCAATAATGAAGGAAGGCTTGCTCTGCTCAGAGTAATTTTCAATAATGAATTCTAATCTAAACAAATTTGCTCATGCATTAATCCATGCATTTTAAAACTTATTAAAATAATCTTAAAATTTCAGGATTTCAATTGGTATTGAGCAAATATTTTAAATTAAATGTGAGTGAAAAGTATAGTTAGATATTTATTTATTTAGTTTTTAAATTTGAGTGCAATAAGTGTTAAAACACTTAGTTTTTAGTGTGTCCTATCACAATTCTAATTCTTATTCATACTAGTTGTTAAAGATTTAATTTTTTGTTATAAAATTTAATATGACATGTTCATTATTTTATTTATTCATTTATTCTAGCGAATTGCCATCACATTTATTAAATTCTTTTGGTTATAAATAAATTAAATAAGAGTTTTAAATGTTTCAGTATATTTTTTATTAGAAGCTATTTTTGAAAAATTATATTAAGTTTTATAATGCATTTTATAGGTGGTTTTGAACGAGTAAATTTTTATTTAAAAAAATCTGAATTAGATCTAAAGGAATTTGATTTAAATAAAATAAATCCGAGTTTGTTTTTTTTTTTTTGTATTAAAAAAAACAAAAAAAGAATTGGGATTTTTGCCATTCCTAATAATAACTGGTGGTAGGGCCATTTATATCTTAAGAAGTAAACTTTTGTAAGTGTGAACAAATTACTTGCCAGTATTTCTACCATATATTTATTTCATAAGAATTCCAACCTTAACTGAGTCAAATGAATAAACATGTTGCATCGCATTTTTTAAAGGTGCTTATTTTCGTTTTTTAAAAAACCTTAAAGGTGTTTTTGTTCACTGGGTGTTTTTAAAAAGTGCTTAATTTTCCCGTTTCGAAAATGAGACACTTTACCGTGTCGATTTTCGCGTTTTATTATGCAAAAGCATGCTTTTTACATTGTTCTATTCAACGTTTTCCTAATTCATTCAACCACAATCTATTTCGGCGGACCATCTGTCCGGAGCGTAGGAATGCGTCAATCATTTTACATGTTTGATATTTATATTTCTGCGTTCTTAAAATCCAATATTAAATCCAATATCACGACTCTTGTAAGAACTAAGTTTTTTCATTATAAAAAATTAGATTAACTATGAATAGTATATAAAATTTTATCTAACGAGTTTTTACTCATGAAATTTTCATTGTTTTTCAGTCTTGTATCACAATCTCTCTTTGATGAGGGTGTGATGAGTTTTTATTTTCAAAACACTAAAGTGCGGAAAGAAAAGTCTTAAGTGAAAAGAAAAATACTGCTGGGTAAAAGACTAATATTTGATGATATATTAAAATCACTTATGTCACTGAAAGTGAGCGCTTGAAAAATGAGAACTGTACAAATCTCTTGCTATTTTATTTTTTTAAAACTTACTGCCATGAAATAATCATAAAAAACAAGTTTTTTAAGACTTTGAGGCTGTCGTCTGGGAGTAAAATAGATATCTACAAATTTTAATTTTACATATTTTTTTTTCTTCTTACTTTTTTGGAAATAAATAAAGCTCTTGGTTTTTTTTTATTTTGGTTTTTTTTCTTTCTTTAAACATTTTGTACTCAACATTTGTTTTAACATTTTTCTGCTTAATAAAGTAATAAAACTTTCAAAATTTGAAATAAATATTGTGACTGTTCAGTTTTGTATTACATATTGCATTGTTTAATTTTATTGAATTATTTCAGGATACAAAATGTTCCGTATGTGATGGTTGCTTCTTTAGAAGGGTTTCTTTATATCTATGAACTGAACGTTGAAATGGGAGGAGCTTGTGTTTTAATAAAACAGCACAGGTAGAAAATATTTGCTTCTTAAAAATGATAACAATAAGTATGAATTGTGTATTATTCTCTTTAGAGTTTGGAATTTTTTGGATAGTAAAATTTGCCATAAAACCTGTGGTTTCTTGGATTTAAAAACATCAATACTGTCTCAAAATTCTTTTGTTCATAGTTAGACTTTCCTAACCATTGTTGAACAGCTGACCCAACTTTGGATTTATGACTACTTATGTTCAGCTCCATAGCCTTTTAATTTTGAACTAATCAAGAAGACAGGGAAAACTCCAGTACCCCCAGAGGTATTGATTTGTTATGGGAGCATGGAGAACTTTTCGACTCGACAGATTTAACGCACATCAGTCACCATTTACTACACGGGGAGTCTTCGACCAGCGAAACTCTTAGGCATGGGCCCAGTGCCCTACCAACCAGGCTATCCCAGCCTCATAGTTGGACTTTATAAAAGTTAAGCATTACATAATTATTGAGTAGCAATAAACTGTAACTCAAAATTAACCATGCATTATTTAAATTGTTATTAAATGCTGATCGAAGTTTTTAAAAATTGTTGGTTTTATCCTTTCTGTTTTAGTTAGTCTAAAACTAGGCATTGCAAGGTAGTTTTGTGTTAAACAACTAAGACAATGGCAGTTAATCAAGCTGTAATTTCTGGAATTTTCTAAGATATATTTAAAAGAAATAGCTGCTTTTTACAAATTACTCAAAACTGTTGTGAGATTTAAGGATGAAGTTATTCTTTGAGTTTATGCAATTCATTTTCTATTTGCTCATGCATTTTAAAACTTATTAAAATAATCTTAAAATTTCAGGATTTCAATTGGTATTGAGCAAATATTTTAAATTGTGTGTGAAAAGTATAGTTAGATATTTATTTATTTAGTTTTTAAATTTTTTGAGTACAATAAGTGTTCCTGATGTTTAGTGTGTCCTATCACATTTCTAATTCTCATTCATACTAGTTGTTAAAGATTTAATTTTTTGTTATAAAAGTTAATGCGACATGTTCATTATTTTATTTTATAATATGTTGAATTGTTTGGATAAATAAGTGGCCATTATTTTAAACTTTATTTTAAATAAGTTTTAATTGTAAAACCAGTTTGTACTTGTTATGAACATTGGTTAATACAATAAGCATGGGTATAGTTTGTCTACGGTAAGAACTCCTCCCGCTACAAAGTGTGAGGCCGTTTGCTGCTATGGAACCAAGAATCTTCTTCATTCTAGGGCGAAGGAAAAGATTCCCTTTGTTTCGTCAACTTGAGCCAAAACCTTTCCTGAACAACGCCCCCAAACCCTTACTTGAAATAGTTATACTTCTTTACCATATGGAAGGCAGCAATTTTTTTCAATTTTTACTCTTTGAATGTTTTTCTGTTTTATTTTTTCAAGATTTTCAAAAAAGGGGTCAACACTTGATTTATTTCTAAATTTTTCTTAATGATTTGACAATTCCTATTTTATTTTGATGTGGCTTTTCTAATGCTAGCTTTATCTTTATTTATTTTTCTTATATATGGCCGTCTCTTTATTGGATCATAGTCTATGTATTTTTAAATCATTATTAAGACTTACTCTGTGAACTTTTAAATTCTGATTGTTTGTCATTAATTTTTTTTTATTTTTTGCAGTTACATTTCAATTTTTCTAATTGCTTTTTCTTATCTGATTTTCCATTATGGGGCCTCGAGGGCACTGTCAGTTTTTGCTTTCACCACTGACAACAGAAAGACTCCTGTGTGTTAGCAGGCAGTGTGTCCCCTGATGAAGTGCTGTCCTGCTGACACACATATCCTAAAATTTTTGTTGTTTTCTGCTGGAATTGTACTTCTGACTTAATAAATTAAAATGAAACAAATTTGGATTTAGCTGCTTTAAGCACTTTTCTATTTTGATGTATTATTTTAAATGCTACTCACTTATTTTGTCTTTTTATGAATTTGTAAATTATTTTCATTATTTGATTAGACCTCGTTGCCATAGTCAGTTCCACGGGCCCAGACAAATGGCTAGGGGAATTCTTGCTTTAGACAAACTATATAGAGCAATGTTTTTTAGCAGCTAATATAAATAGTTCGCATGTCTAAGTGTTTAATATTGAGGTGTGGTAAAGATAGAGTCACACTATTTTATTTAATTTATGAGCTGATGCATTCATTGATGTCTTGTTTCCAAAATAAGGCAGTGAGTGATTCATTCATAAATGATACTTTTTTTAATAAAATTTTCTAGCAATTTTATTAATTTGTTTACTATCTATTTGTTACTAATTTGTTTACTATCTTATTTTTCGAATTTATTTCAATTGTTTTTAATATTTAACTATAATTAACACTCTGTAAATTAATTTCTTGCTTAATATATAAATACATTTATAGTTATTACATACATAACATTAAAAAAAAATTCTTATTGTGTCCCTAAAGTATGTAGACCCTCGATATAACATCCCTCTACAACAATATATTTATTGGGTCCCCAAAATATTGTTGTAGTGAGGTTTTACTGTATCATAGTATTCATACTTAATATTATTTGATAATGAAAATTATTATAGTATTTGTAATTGGGAATTCAATATATGATTTTCGTAGTATCTATGTTTAATATGTGATTTTTTTATTTAGTGGTATTGATAAACTGATCATGTACTTTTAAGTAATATAAAATAAAGTTTTACATAAAATATTGAAATCATAGCATAAATTCTTTACATAAAATATTAAAAAATGACTTATTTTAATTTTTTTAAGAAATTCATAATTTTTTTTTCTTGTTTTCTCTTATTTGAGAATGACATTAAATAGCTAAAAAATTAATATTATTTTTTAAACTAGATTGCTATTTTAAACTGTTTAGATATTTGATATTTCTTTTTGAAAAAGGGTTTCTTCTACTTTGGTTGAAAATTTAAGAAATTGGAAATTTAAGCTGAAATTAAAAATTAGCTTCTATTGATTAAGCTGATAACCATTTTTTTAATTGAAATTTCAGCAACAAAAGATGTTACGACTTTTTAGATATCTTTAGTAAACAACAAAACTGTCCTTTATTGATTTTTTTTAAGTGATTGAAATTTTTAATTCTCTTCCTCTCAAGTGAAATATACAACAAACATGCCATATTTTAACATTTATAACTCAGTTTGCACATTCAGTTTGCTCAGTTTATTAATGTTAAGATTTATTTTTTTGAAACCTATTAACATTTGTTCATAAACCTTATTTATGACTAAAGATTGGAATTTTTAAATTATTTTCATAATTAAAAAAATTTCCTAGTAATGATGTATGAATGATGATTTTTGATGTATGTCACATTTTTTAATAATCTTCTAGCTAAAAATATATTTTAATTAATATCGTCGTTGTGTTCGGTTTTGTTTGTTCATTAGGTATCTTATCTATACATAATTTTCACACGAAATTTAGGTTTGTAGCATCAAATTAAAAAAGGCTCACTTTTTTTTTATTTTTTTTTCTTTACAAAGCATGAAATAACTTACAGTGTAGCGGATGAATTTTGACAGAGTTACCATATCTCAGCAATGAGTTGTCTTCAGTGTGTGTGCGGGGCTGGTATTCTGAGCTCGAGTCGATCGTTGATTTGAGTTTTTGGAAGCCGCACCAGGGGGCGCTTTACCTGATATTCTACTTTCCCTGCCCATTGCTCGATTTTTGGTATCCCAAGCAAGTTTTAGTGGATCTTGAGCGCTCTTTTCGGTTGACGCGAAAACCACTGGCATTTTCAGTAGAGTAATGGCGAGCGCATGGTTAGTAATTATTTTACACGGCTAAGTCCTCGGAGGAGACCGATATATAGAAACAGAAAATATGCTTTTAGTCTTCATGATGATGTATTTTTTTATTTTTTCCGATTAACAAAAAATCTTGTTCAGTATTTATGCGTGGAACTAACAGAGGACTTGGAAAAAGAAGCAAGGCGAGGAAATGTGATTTTAGTAGAAACATAAGTTAAACTTAATTTATTTTCAATATCATGAGCATATTTCTCTTTTTTTTAAAAAAAAAAATAATTGAATTTAATTTTTCTGAAGCACTTTTGTCAAATTTTAGATTCAAATCAAATATACAGTGGTTCTAATATTGCCATAAAAACTGAAAATGGGATATAAACAAATACTTAAGTGAATAATAAAGTATTTTATAACTATGAAACTATGCTATAATTCACTATACTTAAAATCTTTGAAAACTCTTTTTCAACCTAAAACAAATATTGTTAAACATGATAATTGCAATATGAAGTACATAAATTGCTTGACAAATTAATAACTAAATATTTCGCATCTCTCAAAGTGAATTTTTTCTTATAGCTAAAATTTTATAAAAGTTTTGTTAAAGAGAGTTCAAAAATTTTTCCATGTAACAAGGAGGTCCATACAATGAACTGTAATGTTTATCTTTTCATCATTTGATTAGTATTTATCAAATTTCACTCGTATAAGAGTAATGAAACATAAAACAAAAAGCTTAGTTGTAAATAGAATGTAAATTGCAAATTATACTTTCTTTTATTATCAACACAAATAAAGTGATGTAAATATTACCTTCTTAAATAAAAAAAAAAAGCCTGCACTCACCTCTATTAAATCATAATTAAGAAAATTCGTAATTTTCAGAAGGCAAAGTGAAAACCATCTGTTTAGCAATATAAAGTGGTTAGAAGTTAGTAGCAAGAATGCTGTTTACATTTGAAAATTCTGATATTTTAATTTTTTTTCTGGATCTTTTTTCTACTATCCACATAATATTAAATGCAATTAAAAGTTTATTTAAAAAAAAAAAAAAAAAAGCATACATGTGATATGCCAATACGATGTACTCTTGTAATACAATTGTAAAAAACAAAATTTGGTTTCTTAATCGCTATTAGAATAAACAAACCAAAGATCTGATTGCAACTCAATAACATATACTAATAATAATAGTACATATTAGATTTTTAATTATCAGACTTGTAAATAAAATTTATCTAATAGGTCAATGTTTATTATTATCAAAAATAGCAACAAAAAAAAGCTTATCATTTCGGAGATGTATATAAAATTTATTTAATAAATGTAAATATTAAATAAATGTAAGTATTAGTGCAATAAAATAAAAGTAAAGTCTTACAATATTTTACCTCAAATAGATACTGAACCAAAATGCCTTTTTCAACTACTTGTCGCGCGTGAATTGCATGAGAATGCTTTGAGCATTTTTATTGACTGATAGCACGGAAGAAGCTTCACCCCTACTCTACTCATGAAGTAGACCAGTCCATGAGACTACTCCACTGATATCAGTGTTCAGAATACTGAAATTCAAAACAGTGGACGGTGTGACGTCACGGGAAGGTCTACTTCGACTCGTCGTTTGTTTGGAATACCAGCTCAGGGGAGACATCTGACAGTTCAATGAACCCCGACCCCTATATATCGTCTGGGGAAAGGACTTACATAAACAGCATGTCGTTTGATTGAAAAAAGGGAAATGAAATAGAAGATTCTTGAATGGAGTTGATGCTTTAACACTGTGTACTAAATTTCTGAACGTTTTAACCCCTTTTCTTTTTATTAAAAATCTAATATTTTTCGTATTCTTTTGATGAAATCATTTTGACTTAAGTTAAATTTCCATGACAATGCTTTTGTTAACTGTAGGGCTTATGGTGAAACATAGACGAGCATGCATATGCATAAATACATAAACGGTCGTTTCGGCACTATTCTAAATATGAACCTGGAAAGTCGTGAATTTCAGTATTGAACAAAATTTGTCATGATTTTTAACTCTTTTTTTTAAAAAAAAATATGGAAAGTCATGGATTTTGGTCGCTGAAAAATCTCATTTTTAAAATGGACTCCCTCCCCCAATTTCACGGTGTTTCGAATATCTTAATTTTTAACAAAATCCCCACTCATAGTCATCTTTTATTAAAATATAAATTTTTTTATCATGTTCTTTAAAAATTATGGTGTTCTTTTAAAAAAGAAAAAGAAAAACATCATTTTTAGAGCTAATTATCTTTTTAACTTCTGTGATTTCAGAAATTTTGTTATTATTTTTTTATTTTATCAATTTAAAATTCTAGCTGAATAAAACAAGAAAATTATTTGCATTTGTATTTTTTTCAGCTATTTTATTGCTTCAACTCTTTCTTTACTCTGTTTTTTAATTTTAAAATCTGTAAATATGAAGAGGCAGAGTATAACAGTTTTGGTTATGCCAATCATTTCAATTTATATTATTATAGTACTTTTTAAATTTATTGTTGTGTTTTTGTCAGAGAAAATAGCTACTTTGTTAAGGCGTGAAAAATTTTGGAATTAGTCATGGAAAGTCATAAAAATTAATGAATTTGAAAATCTAAAATGTAGCAGATACCCTATAAATGTCATAACCCAGACCTGAAAATGTAATTTTGAAGTTAGTGGCCAGTAGTGTTAAATAACTTAGTGACCACTTATTCCTCTAACATAATGTGTCCGTGTTCCTCTAACATAATGTGTCTAACATAATGTGTCCGTTGACCGATATTGGTAGGTCACAGACTCAGGTGAAATTAACTTTTTATATCTTTTCATTTAATACCCACTTTTTGTAAGATTTTTTTTTGCTTGGAATAAGTTATATTTTGTTTTTAAAAAATCCTTAAATGCTCGCAGAATAACAAAATGTACATGATTTTAGGTTGGAAGGACCAGTTAAACCTACTACAAAAAATTCAAGTCCTGCTTTGTCGAAATTTGAACCTCATTCAACGAGTCATCCTGTTGAATCTGTGGAAAAAGAGTCACCTATCTCAAGTAATTCTTTCTAATTGTTTATTCTTGATGTTTTCACCTGAGTATTATTGCACGATGTAAGAAATTTTATATTGTGATACATTGTCTGTTAGACATCACGATATAGCTTATGTTCAAAAATTATCTGTCATAAATCTTGAAATCCATTAAAAATAAATAAAAAGAATGAATCTATTACAAAGGAAAACGTTAATTCTTAAAAAGTGATTCTATAACATCAAGAGCATTGCTTAATTTTTTCAATTAAAATAATAAAGATGTCTTAAAGTAAAAACAAACCCAAGCTTTTATTTTAATTTTTTTTAAATTAAAAATGACTTAAGATTTATGTGTTTAAAAATATAATAAAACAGTAACAAAATATTTTACATACATGCATTAAAAATTAAAAGGAAGAAAAATGAAAGTAAGAAACAAACCAAGAAATGTTCACTGCAGTAAAAATATTTTTTAAATTATTTGTTGGAAAAAAATTTGCTTTTGAAACATTGGTAGACCTTTTTTTTATTTGTTTATTCAATGTACTTATTATTTAGGTGTATTAACTAATGGTCAAATTCTATACTTAAAAAATGTAAAAATAAATTTTAAGTTTATTATTTTATTATTGTTTCCTTTTTTTGAAAATAAAATTGACTAGAGATTTATAATTGACTAGAGATTTATAAAATGATACTATCTAACAAATTATGAAACAAACAAGTATTGAAGGAATTTTAAGAAATTTTTTTAAAAAATACTTTAAGTACTATTGTTAAATTATTAAAAAGCGTCAAAACGTTTCTTAACTTTTAATTTAATCAACAAAAAAAATTATTTATTTTAACTAATGCCCAAATTTTTATAAAATAAGAAAAGAAAATAAAAAAACAAGCATACAATTTGCTTTAATTTTTTCAAAACTAAATGCAAATTAAATAAATGTAGGCTTTGTTTTAATTTTTTCATAATTAAATATGACTGAAAATTTATTGGTTTAAAAATAATCAGATTATTATACTTACGTGCATTAAATAAATTTAAAAAAACTTACTTTTCATTACAAGTTAAATATAAAATACCCTGATTTTATTATTTTGCTTAAAATGAAAAATAATAATTAAAAAAATCAATAAAGAATATTTTTTTATTAATATTTTCTTATCATCAGTAAATTGAGTTCAGAATGAAAATTTAAGATATTAGCGATTGCACAAGGATCGCAAAGTAATAGTAATTGACAAGAATCCTTAAATCCCAACAGACAAAGGAAAAAAAGTGACGAAATAATGCACAACAAAACAGTGGCTAAATAGCTAAAGTGTGACTGAAAATAATTTACAAGAAACGTTTAACCCCAGCGTAATAAAATGTGCAGCGATTGTAAAATAACTTAAGTCCTGCTGAAAATAATCTTCAAGTAACGCTATGCATAGTTCATAAAGAAACTATGCATAGCGTTCTATATTTCTGATTCAATTCACTCTTTGTCGTTTAATATCACAAGACTAACATTGTTTTGTAGCTAGACACTACAACATCGTCGCAGTTAGACAAAATAAAAATCGTCTTCGTCAGCTCAGTGACAGCGTTAGCGTACATAAGGATCCCCGCAGGTTAAACCGCGTATGTTGTTTTATACCGGTGTCATAAATCGGGTTTCTGATGCATCTTCTGAAACGAAAGTCATTATATCGGCCTGCTGATATATGTGCTTTATCAATATTTCGCTATTCATCGATATATTGCCCAGTTCAACTTCTGAGCCTTTTCAACCCGTTGATTTGGTTCCATCTTTATTCAATTCATTTGTTTTTAAAATAGAAAATTTTAGCATATTGAATTTTTTTAAATTTTTCTTCTGTTCTTAAAAACTTTGAAATTGATTAAATATGATTTAATTTCAATTAATTAACATATTTTTGTATAATATTTTATTAATTTAGGGTGATGTATTTTTTTTTTATTTTTTAGTGTGACTTAGTTGTTAAAAGTTTGATCTTCTATTTTATTGATTAATAAGTTCTTCCTTTATTTTTCTTTTTCCCGCAGCATTACTTCTTATTTTAGGATAATTTACTTATTTATTTTTAATGAAATGTTATATATTTTTCATTTATTTATTTATGTTGTTTAATTAGAAGCTATATTTTTTTGGATATTTATTCTATTTGATTTAACTTAACAAATATGGAATAAATTTAACAAGATATGGATTATTTATATGTTTGTTAGTTTCTTTTTAAGATGGTTTGTTGTTAAAAATATGTTTTTTGTTTTCGATTCTTTTTAAATAAGTATCATTCACATCGTGCGTAGCGTTTTTAAAAATTGCTTATTTTCGATTTTCGTTTTTTAAGAGCCCTTAAAGGTGCTTTTTTCATTGAGTGCTTTTAAAAAGTGCTTAATTTTCCATTTTTGAAAATGGAGTTTTTTTTCTTTACCATGCTAATTCTCGACACAAATTATGCAAAAGCGCGCTTTTCGCATTGTTCTATTTAACGTTTTCACAATTTATTCAACCACAGGCTACTTCGTCAAACCGTAATTTCATAGGGTATGAAAGCTCCAATCTTTTTCAGGGTTCCCATTAAAAGACCTTAAAAACTGCTTAATTTTCATTTTGGAAAATAAAAGTACTTAATTTTGTTACAAGGTTTTTAAAAGTCCTTAATTTTTTAGCATCGCTTTAGTTGATAGGAACAATTTTTCAGCCCAATTTTTTAAAACGAAATATTGCTCTTTTATCACTCAGAATTAGACCATGCATTGGGGGTAAAGCATTCTAGAGAAACAACAATTAATGTGTGTTTTGGGGGGGGGGCGCTTTACTGGCAAGAGGAAGAAAGCATGTCCTTTCATTAATATATTTATCTATATCTTATATTTGACAATCTGAAACAAAAAATATTTCCTAAAATCTTGAAGAATTCAATAAATTTGTATAATATTTCGATGTGTAATAAGTAACTGAAAATTTATAGAAAGCATATCATTTTTTAAAATTCATGATTGTACTAAAAATTAAGCAGATCTGTAAGAAACAGGGTTTGAAAAATCCAAGCCAACCTAGGTTTTTTTTTAAAAAAAACCTTGGGTTTATTAGGTTTTTGATAAAACCTCAATTTTTTTCCTTCAAAAATACTAATATGAGAAAGCATAATTTGCTTCTAACAAGAAAGTTAAGTATTTGGAAATATTTGGTATCCATTTATAATTTGTTTTATTGCAATGCAATTTTTTTTTTTAAAGTTATAGATTGTTACTCTATTATTTTTATTTCCTAAGGATGACCAGATTGTCACATAAAAATTTAAATCTACTCAACTAGAAGATCCTTAGATTTTAATAATCATTTTATGCAGTTAACATTGCATTTTAATATACTGTTTTTAATTTTTTTCAATTTTAATATGCATTAAAAAATAGCAAATCTTAATTTCTGCGCTTAATTTTACAATTCAATTTCAATGAAATCATTGAAAATGGAATACAGATTAGTTTCATACGTTAACTTTTACAATCTGAATGGCGTTAACTTTTAATAATCTGAAAATGTTTTTAAAAAATCTGACCCGGATTTTCTAAAATTACTTGGTACTTCGTTGGCGAGCCCTGTTAATTAGTACAATTATATCAGTGCTTATATTATAATAAAATTGTTATTATTTTTTTTTATTTATTGATTTGTTTTAGAAAAGGTAATACTTTTGCACTGTCACTGGTGGCATATGTATATTTGATGATAAACAATTATACTATTTTTAAAGTCCTTAATTTTCAAAAAAATACTTAAAAGTGCTTAATTTTTGCTTTGTTAAAAGAGTAGGAACCCTGTTTTTACATGTTTAATGAATACTTGGAAGTCCGCATGTGAGCTGGGATCAGTGATATTATTGCTATCTCCTGTGCAATTCTGCTGCATTTTGCAAGATATTCTTAATTTCAAGCTTCATTTTCCACCCTCTGGCATCAAACCGAAATCTTTTTATGGTGGCTAATATAATCAAGAAAAGAGTTATTTGTCAGAAACTAGTTATTTTATCATAATCATGTAAAGTTGTTAATGTATATAGTGCTTAAAAGGTGTTGTTGTTGTTGAAAGATTCGACTACACATCCTGAATAAGATTTTAGATTAATTGTTCTGAATTGTTTCCACAGATATCAAGTCCAGTCCTGTCCATAATCTTAAACTGGGCTATGCCTGGCCTGAAGTTGAGCTGAATCCTCCTTACCTTGACCTGAAATTGAGTGAAAAATACACTGAACAGGAAGAGCATCCTAATTCGGGTGTAAGTACCAGTTGTGTACTGATGATGTTCCTGTTAGATATGAAATATCTTCTTGTGATACAGAACAGACATTCTCATCTGTTGAATGAAATATGTATATTTTTCATCAGATATCATCTATGTATCAGCTCATCATTTGTGTACAAAAATGGAAAATATATGTTATATAATCATATAAAAATTTCAAGACTGTAAAAAGTTTTCATTGACAATGTAATAGTTCTCACTATTTGGAAAAAAATTTTTAGTCTTATTGAAAAAAGTATTTTGATTTTATACAACGGGCCTAAAATTTTATTTATCGTTTATTTATTATTAGGTGAAAAGTTTTTTTTTATTTAGGTTAAAAAGTTTGGTTAAAATAGGAATGCACATGTTCTGCGGCCCGCAGGAGCTTCTGAATGTATAAAAAATTTCCTTTTAATTTAGTTTTTTTTAAAATTTTATTTAGTTAAAATATTTCATTCAAATTTATATTACTCTATAAAATATGTATATTTTTAGCACTTTCATTCTGTAAGAATTTATATCTCTCCTATATATATTAGTAAATAAACTAATTATTGAGAAAAATCGAAAAAGCTTTTTTAAAAAAAAGTATTGGTTGTTTTAGTTTTAAATAAATTCAAATAATTAAAAGTATTTAATTTTCTGAAGTATGTTATTAAGTTTTCTGACAAAAATATTTAATGCTTAGAACATTAATGTTTTTATAAAAATTATCATATTTGCCGCAGACATGACTAAATATGTATGCGGCCCTTTGTTTATCTACCTGCTGTGCAAGTGGCCCTTCACTTAAAAAGCTTGCGCACCCCTAGTTTAAAATTTTAATTTTTTTTTTCAAAGCAAAAGCATGTTACAAATTTTAGTTTTTAAGTTTAAAAATTTAAGATTTAGAAAGAAAATTACTTTTTTTGAAAAGTTATGTATGAAATTTATTATTCAGGTCACCTGGAATCTGAATTAGAAATAATTGTTTTTCAGGTTTAACTGTATTTTCAATTTTCAACTATAGGTATTTTCCATCTATAGGTTAGATTACTATGCAGATTCCAGATATTTAAGTATATATTACAGAAAGTTTAAGTATAATATTTTCACATGGGACTCTTCTTACTTATTTCCTAACTTCCTAAACTTTAATGTAATGAAAGAAAATGCTGTATTGAGTATTTATTTTTCTTAACCGCTTCCCTCTATTTGGAATAGTGAATTTGTAATGAAACTGGGAAGAAGTTCTTCAATAGCAGGTGTATATGGTCATATAAAAAGAATCATTATGCATAACGTTGTTACATAGCCTAATTATTACCATAAATACTCAGAATAATAAGTTTAAAATATATTAAGTAAAACTTGCCTCCATCAAATTTTTTAAATGTTTAATATCGATATTTTCGTCATATGATCGCCAATTGGCAATCTTTCTCGGAATTGTTCCCATCCTTCTCCCAAAAGTGGTGTAATAAAGTCAGGTGACAAAGAGGGAACCAAATACTAATTCCTGGTAAATGGATACATATGCAGAAAAAAAAACTTCAAATAAATATGTAAATAATTTAAATGGTTACATTTTGAGCAAAATAGTTTCACATGCTTTTTTTTTTCTTTCATGATTTGGGTTGATCAGTATTTTCTAATCTCATGCCCGACTGTTACTGTACGCAGAGATGATTGTGCTCCAGAAAAAATCTGGATTTTTCGCTAACCGCGATCCAGAAATTTCTGGAAATCCAAAGTCCAGAAGTTTCAAGAAATTATTGATCACATTTATAAATAAAAATATTAGAACTAGAATTTATGTTTGACATCTCTTCCATTTGAAACTATTTTTTCTGGTAGAATAATAAATGTGATTAGAAATAAAAATAAACTTATACATAATTATTAATTTAAATTATGCTGCATGTAATTTATTTAGAATTTCATGTTGTGAAAATATCAATGGTTTAAATTTAAAAAAGACGGTAATTTTTTGAAACGTGTCATTAATGATTTTACTCAAGAAATGTTCAGGATTTTTCAGTTGGGATCACAATCACCCCTGTGTACATTTGTTAACTTAAAAACTAATATTTGTATTATGATTTGAAGAGAAATTTTTTAAAAAATTGAAAAATTTTTTAATGTATGTTTTTGAGCTTAAAAAAGAGCTTAACTTTAGGCTCATTCTAAAAGACCTAAATATTTTTGGAGAGTATGTAACTACAGCGAAAACTTTTTATGCTCTCAAAATTTTGAATATCGAAAAAAATTGTTTTTCATGATACACTCTTATGTCTATGTTTTTTTCTTTTTTAATTGAGAGTTGTAATAATTGCAGATTGTTTTCATTCACTGTATTCTCTGTCACCCAATGCTTAGACTATAAGCCATTTGTTCTTTCATTACTTATTTGTTTGTTTGTTTTTTCTGATTATTTAATTATTATTTAAGGTCTGGGATTTTATATTCAGAACACAGATATTTTGGATGAACTTAAAATATTAACAACTGAGCATAGTATGCAATGATAGAAGGGAAATTTATTTTAATGTCAAATAACGATGAAATTTATAACTATTTTTTTTAAATAACAAAATGAATTATATCTACAGCCCCTGGACAAATTATTAGACACACTATTAGATTCTATGTAAAATCTTAATTATCAGGTGATACTCTATACAGTGTGTCTAATAATTTGGCTAGGTATGATATATTGTTAAACTATATCATGCAAAATTATATTCTTTAGTATCAAAATATGAGTTGGTTTTAGTTGTTTAAAATGCTTCTGTTTTTTGTTTAGTCTCAGATCCCAGAATCTATAAAATTGCAATTTCTATTTTAAATTTTTTTTTAAATAACTGTGTTATATTTTTGAGGTTGTGGTGGTTGTTCGCATTTTTAATAAATCTGAATCTCTTGAATCTCAAATCTGCTGAATAATTGAATTTTTTAAAACAGATTGCAGTGCTTACTTTTCAATAATGTGTTGTGTCTAACCCAAGTTTCAAAATAAAATCTGTTCAAAAATAACTGTTATTTTTAACGGCTCATATTTAATTTTCAATTGGCTATTTCAATAAAACAACATTTATCATTGGATGAAATTTGACAGGGTCCCACAATCGTTAAAAACTTCTATTTTTTTTTTTTTTTTTTTTTTTTTTTTTTTTTTTTTTTTTTTTTTTTTTTTTTTTTTTTTTTTTTTTTTTTTTTTTTTTTTTTTTTTTTTTTTTTTTNTTTTTAGAGTGGCACCCCTGCACTATAGTCAGAGATGATTGTGCTCCGGAAAACATCTGGATTTTTCGCTAAACACGGTTCTGAAGTTTCAAGAAATCATTAATCACATTTATGTATAAAAATTCTTGTATATTTTATTTTTAAAAAAATTTAATAATTTCTAGCTGATGAGCAATCCTCAACATCAGATAGGGAAACACTTCCCTACTCTCCGATAATTTTTCCTGAATTTATGTTATTCCGCTTTTTTTAAACCTGTCTAACTAACCATTCGAGCACATAAAAGTAGTCTCACCCAATTGCTTAGCAAATTCATCGACTTTGACTTGAATCACTTGTGGCCAGACATTGGAAGAGGGCGGCTTCTTTGAATGCTGAACCCATTCAATAATGAAGCAAACAAGAAAAAATGCTTATTGCTACATTCCATGCTATAAATAGTTTTAAAAATCGGTATATGTATTTATTTTGATGTAGAAATTTCAAAATATGAAGAAAATAAATCAGTCGAAGACAGAATAAAGTTAACAATATCCAACTATCTCGCTTTTTTTGGTTCACTATATCTGCAAAAAATAACATTATACATGTGTAGCAAGGCACAGGAGTATACATTTTGTTTGACTGTAGATTGAAACCAATGATCACAGATTCCATAGTATTTTCCATATTTTTATTAATACATACGATATGCCTTTTGCAAAATAAATCTTAATTAACGAAGATAAATTTTCAAAATTTTTCTTTTATATGATTGTTTTTCAATTTTAAGTTTCTGACAACTTTTTTTATTTTATTATGGGAAAAAAAATTACATGTAAATTTTTTTTGGTTTTATATTTTAACTCAGAAGCATGAGTAGATTTGAAATATGTCATTAAAAAGTGCATAATTTTAGAAACTATCTTTACAAAAAAATAATAATAATAATAATTATACAGCAAAAAGGTTCTGTTTTTTATTTATGTTTCAAATAAATTTACTATATTAAAAATTAATTTTTCCTCACCAATTTATATGAATTATTATACATATTATTACATGAATTATTTTTATTATTTCTATGAATTATTATTATGATTTATCATTAATTAATTACATGAATTGCTATTTATATAAATTATTATTATAATTAATTATTCTATGAATACAGATAAACACAAATAAATAAAAACAGATAGCATTCAAAAGTAAATAATTCAAGCTACTTGGTAGAGGGATTGAAATCCATATGTATTTTGTGTTGGAACTGTTTTTTCTTCTCGATGTTTTTATTTGTAAAGGTGCTAATGCTTAGAATATATGATTTCTTTTTCAATTTGTTTTATCTGATTGTGTTGCTATTCTGTTTATTCACAGATTACTTTTTTTTCCAATTTTGTAAAATATTTTATGCCCAAATAAAGGATGAAATTTTTAACTACATCTTGCATTTTAATTTTTTTGCTTTTCATCACTTTTTTTCAGCTTTTTTACTATTGAATCCTGCATCAAAAATCCGGCCTGAACTGAGAAAAAAAATTTTTGTATCGAAATTGCAGAATTATATAAGAATCTTGCATCAAAAATCCGGCTTGAACTGAGAAATTTTTTTATATCAAAATTGTCAAATTATAATGTCAGGGATCTGTCCAGCCATTTTGTGAAAGGTCCGTTTTTTGTAAAATTGTGAAAAAATGACTCGTAATTTATGAATATAGAATAAACGTTAAGTCACATTCTTTCAACCAGGGTCCTGTTTTTGTGAAATTGTGCAAATAGGATCTTGTTATTGCAAAAATCTTTTTCAATGAGTTTTTAAATTATAAAGACATACAAGATTATACTCAACACTGTAAAATTATAAATAAAAAAATTAAATTTAAAAAATATACAGCAATTGCCGCTATTAAATTAGAGATGCAACATACAAATATTTGGTATTTAGCCTATACTGTTGAACGCAGGATATTAATTTCGGACGAATACAGGAAGAAACGTCTGCCAAAGACAAAACTAAGTTCGTTTACATCTGTCTTTCTCCCCCCCCCCTTCCTGGGAAGGGTTTATTCGATAAAGAAAACAATAATGAAGATAAACAAATTTGTGAAGTGTCCGATTAAAAGATAAATTACTTTGTGAAGGGTCCGTTTTTAAGTTAAAATATTTTGTTAACGGACCCAAATTTCTTCTAAACAAGCCCCTGAATGTATAAATAAGAATTTTTTTAAAAAAATATCTGTGAATGATTATGAGCCACTTTTGTAATGTAGATAAAATATAAAAATGAAGCATTGATAAAAACTCGAAGAAAAAAAATTTAAGCTGTTCGTTTTAAGGAATAAAAAAATGTTTTTTAAATGAAGAAGAAAAATGAGGTTTGTTTCAATACTATGGATGGGTGAATGAATGTAAACAATAACAAGCTTCCTAAAACCTGAAGAAAACTTCCGATGTATTCCTCCGCTTATGTTATACTTTCGAGGTGATGTGTGAACAGGCTTAATAATATTCTTGGAAGTTTTATTATTGAAAATTGTTAAATTAACGCGTAATTTTACGATTCATGAAAAGGTACACAGCGTGAACCTAAAGTTTACTATGTATGTATATATAAAATAGAGTTTCGTAAAGCTTTAAAATGAAGAAATTCGCCATCTTAAATTCTTTAAAATTAGGAAGCGCGAAGTCATTTTTCAATGTTAACTTAATGCCCAATATCGGACCTTAATATTGACCCATAATATTTTAACTGGACCAAGTATTATATTACAGGGTAATATTGTACCCTACCACATGAAATAATTAAGGACCCCATAGGGGGTACACTATGTATATTTGAAATAGTGCATTAAAACAAGGAAATTCGAAGACACATTTCAATGTTAACAAACGACACTACATATGCCCTTAATATTAACCTATAATATTTCAATCGGGCCACTTATTATATTACCTAGGTGTAATGTACCCTACCAGAGGAAATAATTATAGACCCGATAGGCGGTACACAACGTGAACCTAGTTTACTATGTATGTATATCTAGAATAGAATTACGAAAAGCTTTAAAATGAGGGAAAAAATAATATAAATTGAAATAAACAAAAAAAAAGAAAAATTTTTGAAAATTTGACCGTCCCTGGGATTCGAAAACAGGACTCCTCCCTCCTGCAGCAAACTTGCTTGTCTGGTGGCCTACCTTCCAGTCCACGGTGATACGTGAAGCCTACCACAGTTTCGCTTCAAAAGCTCTCTCCTCTCATCTTTGTAATATACCATAAGGAGCCAACCGTGACCCCCCTAATTGGCCTATAATATAAAAATTCTCTTCAGCAGCCTTGTTTGGACCATAGACCCCAACCTTGGGTCCGAGTTTGAAAATTATACCTTGATATTAAAGGGAGCTAGGGGGTCGTGAAATTTGAAATTTTCTCGAGCCATTTTATTTTTTTATTCTTTTTTTTATAATTCCATTACGTTTTCTTTGCTGAACTTCACACACAGAAAACACCCCATGCATGCTAGAATATCCAAAATTTTACAATAAAAGTCGAAAAAGAGTAAATAAACTGATTTTCCTGGATTTTTCCAGCTTTTTCCCATTTTCACATTAAAATTTTTTTTTCTCTACTTGCAGGAACCTCCAGAATATCGCAAACCACATAAAAAATTAATATAATTTAAAATAAACAAAAAAAAAAAATATTTTTTTTGAAAATTTGACCGTTCCTGCGATTCGAACCCAGGACCCCTCCCTCCTTCAGCGAACTTGCTTGTTTGGTAGCCTACCTTCCAGTCCACGGTGATACGTAAAGCCTACCTCACTTTCGCTTCAAAAGATCTCTCCTCTCATCTTCGCAAGATACCTTTAGAGGCCCACTGTGACCCCCCTAATAGGCTTATAAAAATTCTCTTCAGCAGCATTGTTTGGACCATAGACCCCTACCTAGGGTCCGAGTTTGAAAATTATACCTTGATATTAAAGGGAGGTAGGGGGTCGTGAAATTTGAACCTTTCTCGAGCCATTTTATTTTTTTATTCTTTTTTTTTATTATTCCATTACGCTTTCTTTGCTGAACTTCACACACAGAAAACACCCGAAGTATGCTAGAATATCCAAAATTTTACAATAGAAGTCGAAAAAGAGTAAATAAGCTGATTTTCCTGAATTTTTCCAGTTTTTTCCCATTTTCCCATTTAAAATTTTTTTTCCTTCTTGCCGGAACCTCCAGAATATCGAAAACTACATAAAAAATAATATAATTTAAAATAAACAAAAAAAAAATTTTTTTTGGAAAATTTGCCATCCCTGGGATTCGAACCCTGGACCCCTCCCTGGTTCAGCGAACTAGCTTGTCCGGTGGCCTACCTTCCAGTCCACGGTGATACGTAAATCCTTCCTCAGTTTCGCTTCAAAAGGTCTCTCCTCTCATCTTCGCAAGATAACTTTAGGGGCCCTCTGTGACCCCCCTAATTGGACTATAAAAATTCTCTTCAGCAACCTTGTTTGGACCATAGACCCCTACCTAGGGTCGGTGTTTGAAAATTATACCTTGATATTAAAGGGAGCTAGGGGGTCTAGAAATTCAAACTTTTCACGAGCCATTTTATTTTTTTATTCT